GACGGTCCACTGAGCCTACTAGGCTAGAGTGTAGACCTAAAGATAGGCCGTGACTCGGAACACTCCATATACATTGTGTGAACTTGATTGATTGAATATCACTTCCAACAACGCTGTGTTTCAACACTCGGGCCCCAAACACCCTTATATGCCCGACATTCGGTTTTTCACCGAAGTAAAGTTCCTACAGAGTCCTCCCATGGGCGCTCACGGGCGTCCGGTTCCCGGTGTAGTTGGCCGTCACCCCGGCTTCCGCCCAGAACTCTTTGGAGCCCAAGCATCGCCCGGGTCTTCTTTTTCCCCGGTTGACTCCGTTCCGCCGACCCATTCTGCTCGGCACTATAGAGGGCGGTTTTCTCGTAAACCGTCCCCTTGCCCCCGAACACGACCTTGAGGGCCTTGTTCACGTACTTCTTACTCCGGTCCGTCCGCACCGACTTGAGCTGCTTTCCCGATTGCAACTTCAACCGATTGATCACGCGCTTAGTGACCTTGGCCACCTCGCTTTTCTGCTTCATCGGAACTACAACCGAGTGTTTGCTGTACATAGTCGTTCGAGGACGAGGCAAAGTACCGGCTTCCCCGTACTGAGGCTACCGGCATTGGCCCGCAGACGGCCATATGGACTAGCTCAAGAGGCTTCGTGCTCACCGAGTCGGGGTACGGGAAGGGAAGCCTAGTCCGCTTCCGCACAATGCAGCAGGGTTCACACACCGAGGTTTTAAGCGCCTTGAAAGCACTCGGTTTCAGCCCGACCCCTTCCACAAGGTCGCCCTGCACCATTTTTGCCAAGTTTTCGTACCCAGCGTTGTTTCAATCGACGGTGCCACGGCTCCGCCGTTTCCAGCTTCTTCACAACGAAGCACGTCTCCTTCTCTGCCCTTTTGACCACATCGACCCCCTTCACTTTCCGTGCGACAAGAACGACCTCTTCGTCAACCTCAAGCTCACAGTTGCCGTTCTCCTTGAACAGCACTCACGCAACCTCGGTGGCCTTGCTCACCAAGATCAACTACGCTGCCTCCTCAGGGAGATACATCACTTTTTGCAGAGTAACCAAACTTTCTCCGGTCTGTGTTGCACACCGCAAATCTACCTAGCCGCTCCCCTCTGCCCATAGGGACCCTTTGTCCCTGAACGTGAATTCTCGGCCACTCCCCCCGAACATTCGGAGGTTCTCAAACAGATCTTGTCCCCGGTTTGGTGTTGGGAGCTATCCGAATCGACGAGCCACTCGTCGGTCGACACCCCATCAATGACGCTAATGGCCACACCCTTGGGAGGTTTCCCCCCCTCCTTTTGCTTCGGCTTGTGCTTCCGCCTATCCGGCTTACTGTACTTCGGAGCAATGTGACCGAACTCCTGGCAATTATAGCATTCGGGCCCCTTGCCCCGGCTCTCCTTTTTGCCGTGGCCTTTCTCCTTGCTCACTTTCGCCCGACCACATAGGCCATAGCGAAGTCCGACCCACTCCCGCCCTTTTCTTTGGGCAACTCCTCAAACCCATGCTCATGCACCAAGAGCTTCGGCAAAATTGCATCCACCGAGCTAAAGGCGCTCTCCAAAGCCTCTCGAATTGTTTTCAGGGTACTGAACCTCTTGGGCAATCCCGCAAGCACAATCCATGCCAACTCATCCGGCTTCATCTCGAAACCAGTCGCGACCAAGTTCCTATACAAATGGGCCTTTGCCCGACCCACATACATGGTCACGGGCGCTCCCGACTTCATCTTGGAAGAATGCGACTCTTGCCTGAGCTGCATCTTCCTTGCATTGGAATTGCTTTTGTAGGTCTTGTCAAGGAGATCCGACGCCTCCTGGCGGTTTTGCACTCCTCGATCGACCCCAAATGGTGATCCTCAACGTTTAGCCCGATGAGGAACAACGGTTTCTTTGATTGAGCTGGGTGGTCTACGCAATCCTCAACCCCATTTCAAAGATCCTTGGAAGTCAGAAAAAACATAATCATCAATATCCACGTTCTAAAGTTCTCCACATTCAACTTATTGATGTAGACCTTGTATCAATCGCCCATTTTAAGGATTGCGTTCCCTTTCGTTGCTTTTCAGGACCAAAGGTGGATAATTTCCTTTCAGGCTTTCCTTGCCACTTGATCCCCCTTACGGGCCTTGAAATGTCGTTTAGCTCAAAGAGCATCCACAATAAAGTAGACCGCCTCCACCGATGCCTTCATTGACAAGAGAGAACCATTCGCCGGCCTTGACGTACATATTCAATTTTCACCCTCCCCGGAGTCTACTTTGAATGCTTGCGCTCTCATCGTTGAACTTAGGTAGTACTCCTATTGTGTGAGTACGCCCTAACATCGTAGATGATTCTGTAGTTTTTTGATTGAGTTCCATGGAGTGGTAATTACCCCACTGGCAATGACCCCATTGGCAATTACCCCACTGGCAATTACCCCAGCAGTGGTAGTTGCCAGAAACTCATGATAGGGAGTCATAGTGTGGTTGAGTTACTCGTCGTCGGGTCTTATCGTGTTGCCCGACACCCATGCTCATCACTCATTGATGGCAGCCATACATCCTAAAAGGAACGCACGAAGCGCCTCACAAGCGGCTTGTCCACAGGAAGTATTGATTCTGAAGGTCTTCCGTCGAGCGAAGATTTCAGAAAGGGATATGCTTCTGACCCGTGGTTCTGGTCAGACGGTAACTTGAAAGGGTTACACTTTGAAGAAGAGGAGGGTCTGTGGTATCTGGATCACCGAGTGGTGGTTCCTGCTGGTGAAGTGCGTGAGAGGATACTCCAGGAATCTCATGATGCACCTTACAGCGGCCACTTGGGACCAAGACTCTTTAACTGGTTACCAGAAACTATTGGTGGCCACATCTGAGGCAAAACGT